TTAATGGGTGCCATTGGCTTTGATTTCTTACGGGATGCAGGGAGGGTTTTCCAGTTTTTGTCATCCACTGCAAAAACGAGCAGTGAAAGTAGTGAAAGTAAAAAGTCTGTTTTATTTTAGGATGAAGCCAAGTGCAGTTGGCAACTACAATGGTGCATAACTTTCTCACTGCACGTTTTGGAATATTTTTTGTTAAAACTCCTATTTATTTTATTTTTATTTATTTGATTTGTCAATTGTTTACAAGATAATAAGTATAAGTGTATACATAGTTATGAATACATGAAATGGGTACATATAAGAAAAATAAAAGAAAAATAAAAGAAACAATAGGACAGGAACGGTAGGCACGTTGGTGCGCTTATGCACGCCCCCTCGAGACCTCTTAGGAAAGGGGTGAGGTCAATAGTAGACAGTCTAAGGTTAAAGTTTTTGGGGGTTGGGGAAGAAACTACAGAGTTCTAGCTTTCCCGCAACTGAGCCTGTGGCGCGGGACTAGGAACTGTAATCGTTCTACGGTTGTGTGCCCATTTATAAGACCTGTCCCTTTCAGCAGTATTACCTTAATTATTAACCGTGTAGCGGTGGGCATGTTTGCTTGGGAATTTCCCACACATCCTTGTCACCATGGCAGAAAGACCTTTTTCACTGGGTTGTTGAAGATATCTTCCAACGTCACCCTTATCTCTGTGCCAATCTTCTGAGGAAACTGGTACAGGTTTAGATATTTCAGTGTAAAAGAGTTGGTTTTTTTCCCCTTCCCATCACAACCTAGCACATTGCTGGACACTTTATCACAACCCAACATATTTTATCATGTTGGTGGACGTGAAATAAAGCCAAACATTTTTGGATACAAATATATTTACTAATTCAGAAGAGTTTAAAGACATGTACACTTGAAACCAGAGCTGTTTGCTAATGGATAGTTTGAAAAATATCATAAATGTTGTTTTTATATAGTATGTAGGTTCAAAAGTGAAAAGGTTCAACATCATCCACAATAGAGAAGTAGTTGGTAAAGATGATGGAAGTTGCAGAGATTATTAGACTTACTTCCTTGATTAGAGCAAAGACAATATACTGTATTTATAAAGACTGGAAACCCCTTAAGGACTTTTTGCATGAAACAGAAAAAATATGAATTGATGAATTGTGATTTTGATGATTAAGGAAAAAATGAGATAATAGAAAAAAGAAAGCTTTTGTGTTTTCATATAATAAGATATAATTGTGTATTCATACTTGTATTTGCTGCAAAGAAACCCAAAAGATAGCACAGTTTATAAGATACCGGCAATTTCCTTCTGGCTCAAAGAAAGAAAAGAAGCACAGCAAAGTGACTATTTGAATAAGCCCTTAGATATAAGCACCATGTAACCAGATGATCATTACTCAAAAGTTCAATCTGGGGTGTGTTGGAAAAAATATCCATCTGGTTCAGTTCCAAGCAGGGAGAAAGAAACTGGAAACATGGAAGCTGATTGGAAAGACGGTTTATTGATGGACATGGAACACATGGGTTTGAGGTCCTGGGCAGCTGACCACATGGAGTGGAGAGTAAGGGTTATTTATACCTTCTCTTGGGCCTTGCCCTTGAGCTTCCTGTTCCTGTGCAATAAATGTATTTTATTGGCTGTAGCCAGACTCCCATGAGGCCATGTGGGGTAATGTTTGTCTGAATCAAATTTGGTTGGAGCCTGGAGAGTGATGATGTAATGAAGAACCTTGTGTTCTGAAAGGTGTTGGGCAATTCCTCTTGTGGCTTAATAGCTTTGTCCTGGTTTGGATCTTGAGTGAGGACTAATCCCATCACCCTAAGGCTGAAGGTCTTTTGTTTTGTAGACAGGATGGCCCAGTATTTCTGGAGCTATCAACAAAGGTGCTTTCCAAGAGCATGTTTCTCTTTTTCTCATCCAGGGAAGTATAATAATCTGCCTTTTTAATATTTCCTGAAATATTTCATTCTACTAGGAGAGGGGTGGGTTCTAACTTTCAACAGGTGCACTAAGGAAGACCTTTGGGGTGAAATGGGCAAGGTTGGCATTCTGCTCAGCTCCAGTTCTCTCAGCAAGTCTTCTGTGGGACTACTCTGAACTTCAGTGGTATCCCATTATGTTCCAAAGCCATTTGACTACGCTTGCAAGAAAGAACAGACATTTGCATAGCCAATTCCTTCTTTGGGGGTGGTTGGATATGATGATACTATATCAAGGTTCAGTGGAATTTCTATGAGATATTTATTTCCATTGGTTAAAAAAAATAAAACTAGAAAATATTTGTCCCTTAAATATTCCAGAAGACTCATATCAGCTCCTTCATCACAGGATGCAACTGAAACTAAATTTAGCTCGCTTGGTTAGCCCAAGATGTAAGCAATAATATGGTGCATCATTATTAATTTGCAGCAATTTGGATTTTGAAAAACTAGATTTGTTGTGGTTGTGTATGGAATGTGTCTAAATATGTGTCTAAAGATTATAGGTTACAGTGAATCACTGATCTCTTCCATCAAGTAGAACCAAAAGCAAATTCCCAAGGTTACATAGATTTTATATGGAATGTTGATATGTGTAGGAAGTGTTGGTCCGCTTCCAAACCAGGAGTTAGGTATTGGAAATAAAATGGAAGCTGACTGCAAGGAAATAATGTTTATTTGGTTTCCAGAATCTTCAGTAACAGCAGCAATGTTTTTAGGATGGCTTACCAAATGGTTGATGAGTGGATGGATCTCTTGATGGAGATGCTCCAGGGCTGTGCAATTTAGTGAGCCTTGTGTCTTTTGCTATTCTGGTAGTGGTTAATCCTATTATGTCCTAAAGATCATGTCCTGTCCTTATAATTTGGGTAGGAGAATGTCGATTTTAATCCCATTAGCTCCAGCCTTCTGTGTGTTATTGGCCCAGTCTTCCTGAATGGATACAAAATCTCCATTCCAAATGAACAGTCTTTTCTGCTTGAGACTGTTTTCCCATGCAGGAAGACTGGGGCTGCTTTCTGCCTTTAAGAACATGTTTCTCCATTTCTCCTTTGGAGAAATATTCTATTGTGCCTCTTTTGATATTAAGAATAAATAATATTTTAAATTCGGGGGTGGGTGGGGCTTCTTACAAGCGCATGCATATATATTGTAGAAACCCCAGATACACTATGACTGATAAGGATGCAAAATAACAAGAACTGAGGCATGGGTATCATTCAAAGTAAGAAGACACTACAATAACATTCATGGAAATGTAACAGAGCCACTTTGATATTCAAAAAGTGTTAAGATATTTTAACAAGCAAATAATCAGAAGAAGTTTAGTAGCACCTTTTTTGGCTAGGTGAAACTTTATTATCAAAATTAGAGAAAAATATTCATTAAGTTTAACATAAAACCAATTTCAGCAATATGTATAATATATATGGTATTATGGGCTTTCTAATTGTTAACTGTTTAGCACACTATCAGACACAAATGAAAAAAGACATTTGATTTATTTATTAAAGACTGAAACTCTATAATTTTGCAAATAGTCTAGTTCTGATTATATTAAAAATAGCTATAGCAAAATACATTTTGTATTAATGTATAAACTAAAGATATTGCACAGATAAGCTGCCCAAGGAGCTGCTGATACAATTCTACAGAGGAATTATTGAGTCTATCATCTGCACCTCTATAACTGTCTGGTTTTGTTCTGCAACCCAACAGGACACAGACTTCAGAGGATAATTAGGACTGCAGAAAAAAACAATTACTATCCACCTGCCTTCAATCGAGGACCTGTATACTGCACAAGTCAAAAAGAGGGCTGTGAAAATATTTACAGACCCCTCACATCCCAGACATAAACTGTTTCAACTCCTTTCCTCAAAACGACGCTATAGAGCACTGCACATCAGAACAACTAGACCCAAGAACAGTTTTTTCCCGAAAGCCATCACTCTGCTAAACAAATAATTCCCTCAACACTGTTCAACTACTTACAAAGTGTGCACTACTATTACTGTTAATCTTCTCATCACTCCTTATCATCCATGCCCTCCCACTTGTGATTGTATGACTGTAACTTTGTCGCTTGTATCCTTACAATTTATATTGACTGTTTCCTAGAATGATTTGATTGTACCCTATGACTATCATTAAGTGTTGTACGTTATGATTCTTGATTCTTAACGAATGTATCTTTTCTTTATGTATACTGAGAGTATTTACACCTTGTGTG